GGCTGGGGATTCGAACCCGCCACCTTAGGTGTACGTGGCTGGCGCCTTAGCCGGTTGAGCTATAGGCACCGAGCCTTAAAGACATGATTTTAAAAAATTATTGAATACTAAAGGAATTTCTAGGAGAGTAAAATGTCTGGCAGATAGACAAACATACTAACTTGACATTAAATGATAGCTTATTGCCATTTCTAATCATTTTACATACTCTGTGGAGGATGATGGGGTAGAAAATGCAACCCAACACCATTTTGTTGTTATGACATAGGGTCTTGCTCCATCACCCAGGCTAGAGTGCAGTGGTGCGATTATACCACACTGTACTCTTGAACACCTGAGCTCAAGATATCCTGCCACCTGAGTACCTGGGAATACAGATGTGTGCCATCACACCTGGATAATTATTTTTTTTTTTACTTTTTAAAGAGACAGGGCTCAGAGCCTGTAGCTCAGCAGCTAGGGTGCCAGCCACATACACCAGAGCAGTCTGAGCCTGCCAAACAATGACAACAACAACACAACAACATAGCCAGGCATTGTGTCGAGGGCCTGTAGTCCCAGCTACTTGGGTGCTGAGGCAAGAGAATCGCTTAAGCCCAAGAGTTTTGCTTTTCTTTTTGCTTGTACAAAAGGTTTTTATTGGTGAGGGAGGGATGCTGCAGAGCAGCACTAAGGAGGAGAGAAAAGAAGAGAGAAAAGAGGAGAGAGCGAAGAGAAGAGAGAAGGAGAGAGAGAGGGAGAGAGGAGGAGAGCAAAAAAGGAGAGAGAAGGAAAAAGGGAGGGTCAAAGGAAAAGTGCACCCTTAGATAGGTTCGGTTAGGGGAAGTCTCAGAATGATGATGAGATGGTAGGACAGCCAATAAGGAGTTACTGCTCTGGCAGTAAGAGCCGTTAGGGGCTGGCTATAAGTTTGAAATTTTCAGTGGGTAATTGGGACTGGGAGATGAGATAAGCAGGCCACTCCCTGGTGTTTAGAGGGCAACTTCCTGTGCTTGGAAAGGAGCTGTAACTTTAAGAGTGAGACAGCTGGCTTGGCGCCTGTGGCTCAAGTGGCTAAGATGCCAGCCACATACACCTGAGCTGGTGGGTTCAAATCCAGCCCCGCCTGCCAAACAATGATGGCTGCAACCAAAAAAAAAAAAAAAAAAATAGCCGGGTGTTGTGGTGGGCACTTGTAGTCCCAGCTACTTGGGAGGCATAAAGACAGGAGAATCACTTGAGCCCAGGAGTTAGAGGTTGCTGTGAGCTGTGATGCCACAGCACTCTACCCAGGGCGACAGCTTGAGGCTCTGTCTCAAAAAAAAAAAAAGAGTGAGACAGCTAGTCTTGGTCTGTTTAGGGTAGGAAGGGGCTTTCTGGGGAAGGGGCTTTTATGAGGCAATTACTTAACATTCCTCCCTTCTTGATATATTAGAAATAGGGGATTGGCCTTGGTCTAGGGGACGTTGAGTTCTCTCTTCTGTAGCTTCTTTCTGCTGGGAGGGGCATGTAGTTTCAATTGGCCAACTACAGAACAATTACGATATTTTTCACTTGGAGGATGTAAGTTTTTTGCTCTTAGACTGTCCTTTTAGCGATGGCTGTTTAGAAGGGGTGTTCAGGAAGGTTTTGTGGCCTGGAGTAGAGTGTAGCTCATTCATGAAGAACAGTTTCTTTTTCTTGTAGGTTGGGAGCTGTGTCTGGGGTGTAGGTTTGAAGCACCAGCTGAGTAGTTACCAAGTCTGGATGAGGCCAGTGTGGGGCGCTGGTTAGAGCGCCTTGGTGGATGAACACTAGCCAATGTGGTAGTGAGCACCGGGAGTGCCAGAAAAGGATAGAGAGCCCCCAAGAGCTAAAACCCCCGGAAGGGGTAAAAGTTACCCTTGGGAGCGTTCCCTAATTATCCTGCTTCTGACACCAGAAGAAAGGGTGGCACTCGACCGGCAGAGATCTCACAGACCACCAAGGCTTGTATGAAAGGTTTTTACTGGTGGGGGAGGGAGGCTGCAGAAGGAGCAGAGAGAGAAGGAGGAGAGAAAAAGGAGGAGAGAAGGAGGAGAGAAAAGAGGATAGAGTGAAGAGAAGAGAGGAGGAGAGCAAAAAGAGAGAGAAGGAAAAAGGGTTGTTTTTTTTTTTTTTGAGACAGTCTCCCTATGTTACCCAGGGTAGAGTGCTGTGGCGTCACAGCTCCCACAATCTCTAACTCTTGGACTTAAGTGATTTTCTTGTCTCAGCCTCCCAAGTAGCTGGGATTACAGGTGCCTGCCACAACGCCCAGCTATTTTCTTGTTGCAGTTGTCATTGTTACTTAGCTTGTCCAGGCTGGGCTTGAACCCACCAGCCCTGGTGCATGTGCTATGGGCACCAAGCCAAACCCAAGAGTTTGAGGTTTCTGTGAGCTGTGATGCCATGGCACTCTACTGAGGGTGACATAGTGAGACTGTCTCAAAAAAATAAAATAAATAAAATAAAATAGAATAAATAAATATATAAAGAGACAGGACCTCACTAGGTTGCCCTGGCTGCTCTAGAACTCCTGGCCTCAAGTGATTCTCCCCTCAAAACCTCCCAAAGTGCTGGGATTATGAATTATTGCACCTGACCCCAATACGTATTTTTTAAGTGACACTTACTGGAACACTATTACACCCATTCCTTTTTGTCAGTCGTTCTCAACCAGGGATAATTTTTCCCTCCAAGATACACATGGCAATTTCTGGAGACATTTTTGGCTGTCAAAATTAGGGGAAGAGGCAGCTACTGGCATCTGGCATTGTTATCTTGTGAGGAGAGGCAAATACCAACAATGCCAAAGTTCAGATATCTGAGTTTATGTACTGTCTCTGACTGCTTTTGTACTAAAACAGAGTACTTGTGACAGACCATCCAGCTCACAACACCTAACATGTTTTCTATCTGGCCCTTCACAGAAAAAGGTTGCCAATTATTGTTCTGTAGGAAACCAGAAAATTTAAATAAGTATCTCATGTATAGTAAATTATCTATCAATTCTAGAAAACTCACTTTAACATTATTACATTATTTTCTTCTAGAAATGAGACAACTAGCTCTTTTTTTTTTTTTTTTTTTTTTTTAGACACTATGTCGCTTAGACAAGCCTCAAACTCCTGGCTCAAGCAATTCTCCTGTCTCAGCCACCTGAGTAGTAAGTACTATAGGTATGTACCACCATGCCCAGCTTAACAATCCAATTTATACCTCTTCTAGCCTTATAAAGGGCTATAGGCTTTTATAGGTTTATATAAATGTTGTGGTATATTTTCTGATTCATTAAAGGGATATTTGAAACAATGATTCTCAAAATCCAATCACCAGATCATTGACCTGCCATGAAATTTTTACTGGCCCATAACGAAATCAGAAAAGACAAATACAGGAATTTCCTGAACTAAAACTAATTTAATTGAACATAATTAACATTATGTTCTTCATAATGATTACATATGTCTCTCCTACATCTTTTTTTTTTCTTGACACAGAGCCTCAAGCTGTCACCCTGGGTAGAGTGCTGTGGCATCACAGCTCACAGCAACCTCCAACTCCTGGGCTTAAGCGATTCTCTTGCCTCAGCCTCCCAAGTAGCTGGGACTACAGGCACCCGCCACAACGCCCAGCTATTTTTTTTCTGGTTGTAGTTGTCATTATTGTTTGGCAGGCCCAGGCTGGATTCAAACCTGCCAATTCTGGTGTATGTGGCTGGTGCCTCAGTTGCTTGAGCTACAGGTGCTGAGCCTCTCCTACATCTTAAAATAATAAAATGCCCATTATTTTCTAAAACAGTGCTAATAGCAGGTGATTGGTTTTTAATATGCCAAAATTAATAATTGTGCCAAATCAGCGAGGCACCTGTGGCTCAAGGAGTAGGGCACCAGCTCCATATCCCGGAGGTGGTGGGTTCAAAGCCAGCCCTGGCCAAAACTGCAACAAAAATAATTGTGCCAAATTATTTTTTTAAATTGTTGGTTATTGAAATCCAAAAGTCAGGAACTGATGATTTAGAGCAGTGGCTCTCAACCTTCCTAATGCCATGACCCTTTAATATAGTTCTTCATGTTGTGGTGATCCCCAACCATAAAATTATTTTCGTTGCTACTTCATAACTATAATTTTGCTTCTGTTATGAATCATAATGTAAATATTGATCTTCTGGGTGTATTTTTTTTGTTACAAAGGGGTCACGATGCATGGGTTGAGAACCACTGATTTAGAAGCTTTGACTCCAATGTAGAGTCTTTGATGTTGAGTATGTTTCACACATCATTGCTGAAGGTATTTCTTAAATGTGTTTTGCAGTGTCTAATAAGTGATGAACTACATCTGAAGGCTTTTCCACATTCATTACAATCATAAGGTTTTTCTCCAGTATGAATTCTCTGATGTTTGGCAAAGGATGAATCATGCCTAAAGGCTTTTCCACAATGACTGCATTCATAAGGTTTGACTCCAGTATGGACTCTCTGATGGATAGAAAGGTGTATTCTCTGGCTAAAGGCTTTCCCACATTCCTTACATTTATATGGTCTTTCTCCAGTATGAGTTCTCTGGTGTTGAGTGAGGTATGTGCTATGGCTGAAGGTTTTACTGCATACGTTGCAAATATAGGGTTTCACACCAGTATGAATAATCTCATGCTGCCTAAGATGTCTAATCTGGAAAAATGCTTTTCCACAGTCTTTACATATAAAAGGTTTCTCTCTAACATGAGTTCTCAGGTGTTGGATCAGTCCAATGCTCTGGCTAAAGGCTTTCTCACATATCTCACATTCATAGGGCTTTTCCCCAGTATGAATTCTAACATGTTGAGTAAGGGATGAAGGATGTCTGAAGGTTTTCCCACATTCCTTACATTCATAAGGTTTCTCACCAGTATGGATTCTCTGATGTGGAATAAGGGATGAACTTTGACTAAAGGTTTTTCCATATTCCTTGCATTTGAAAGGTTTCTCTCCAGTATGAATTCTCATGTGTTCAGTAAGGTGAATGAGCTGTTTGAAGATTTTTTCACAAATATTACACTCAAAAGTTTTCTTTTTTGTGTAACTCCTTGAATGATGAATTAAATCTAAGTTGTATCTACTTCTTTTTCCAGATGTGTCATATTTACGGCCTCTTTTTCTTGAACGACTTGTTGGTCCTGGGTTAACTTTTAAATTCACATTAATTCCTTTCTCAAATCTGTTAGATGCTTGGCCTCTCTCCTGAGTGCAAGCTTTCTTACAGCTCAAGGGGCTTTTCCCCTCAGCCATTTCTTGTTGTTCCTGCTTGCTTTCTAAATTATCACATTTGGAGACTCTTCCCAATGTGTGATACAAGGTGCTTCCTCTTGGAGACCTTTCTGTCATCAGGCCATGGTGTAATTCTTTCCACGAGATGTCCTTACTTAAGATTGACTCTTTGGTTTCTGTTTTATTCTTCAAGCCTGAAAGAAATCCAGAAATACAAATGACCCATATTCATTGAATTTCAAAAAAGTTAATCACAATGAGAATTACAGGAAAAAATATATATAAACTAAAAATTAAAATAAAAATAAGTTCATATTGTAAGTTCATATTATGCTTGAGATAATTCATAGCTCAAAATTTGTTGCAAAATTTTGGAGTCTATTTGTTATAGTAGTTTAGCCAAATCTTAACAAAGGAAGAAATTATATATCTGCATTAAAAAGACATTGAAGGCTGGGCACAGTGGCTCATGCCTGTAATCTTAATACTCTGGGAGGTCAAGGCAGGTGGATTGCTTGAGCTTAAGAGTTCAAGACCAGCCTGAGGAAGAGCAACACCCCTATCTCTACAAAAAATAGAAAAAATATCTGGATGTTATAGCAGGTGTCTGTAATCACAGCTACTCAGGAGGCTGAGGCAAGAGAATTGCTTGAGCCCAAGAGTTTGAGGTTGCTGTGAGCTATGATGACATAGCACTCTACCCAGGGTGCAGGATGAGACTCTGTCTCCAGAAAAAAAAAAAAAAAGATGGCTAGGCATGGTGGCTCATGCCTCTAATCCTAGCACTTTGGGAGTCCAAGGCAGGTAGATTGCTTGAGCTCATGAGTTTGAGACCAGCCTGAGCAAAAGTGAGACTCCATCTCTACTAAAAAATGGAAAAACTGGCTCAGCACCTGTGGCTCAGCAGCTAGGG